ATTTTGGCCTTCCCTATGGCCTCATCTTATTATTTTGCCTTCAAGATGAGCTAGCCATACAGTTAAAATCAATCTCAACCTCTCTCTCTTCATATTACTTTTTTTTTTAATGACAATGAATTTTATTTACCTAAGCCAGCCTGTATTTAAAGAACATTTTATTGTGTTTCTGGTAGACGTTTACACGGTCAACTTTGGTTTCAAGTTTTTCCACACAAACTGTTCACTGCCGTTACTTACATTTCCTACAACGTGTCAGCATTCTCTTTGTGTTCTGGTTGTTCTATTTCAGTACTCTAATTTCCCTGCCTGTCTATCACCTCTTCTCTGCTTTAAATGTTGACTTTTATGTTACTGCATGGCATTAACTTACTGCTTTAAAAGAAAAAATTATTGTCTTAACTGTAATAAACAAATGAACAAATTATTTTTTAAATAATTTAAATCATTAAACTCACAGTGTATCAACTGGAACATCAGTTGCTAAACACTGACTTCCCCACTTGATGAGGTGGTAAGATAAAAGGAGGGGAGATGTCCGATGTAGCAGGTCTTGCTGAGCTTGAAAGAGCTGACCAGCTCCCACCATCACCTATACACAAAGGGGAGGTGGATAAGATGATCAACAAAAGCAATCAGAACTGGCAGCTGTTAAGAGTTCATGTAAGGGTAAAATAACAAAGGCAGTTTTAAAGGACAATTGAAAGTAGCACATTTATATTATTTTGGGGAAGCAAGTGATAAAATCCTCCCAAACACTTTACAGTCCAAAAATTACCACAAACAGCTCACCAAGTAATGGGAACTAATGGTACAAAAGAAAACAAGAACAGAGAACTTGTTGTTGTTGCTAGATTCTGTCTGAGTAAGACCCTTAGCGACTCTGTGAACAACAGATCTGAGCCCAGTCCTTCCTGTGTGAAGACACTTCCCGACACATTAGCGCCCACTGCAGCAGTCACTGCATTAATCTACCTGTTGAGGATCTTCCTCTCCTTTGCTGACCCTTCCCCTTTCCAAGCATCATATATTTCACCTCATAAACTTTGGGCATCTTGCTAGGATGGCTATTTCTTGGAGAAGGACATGATGCTCAGACATAATGATGTTCAAAACAAAGAGCTTAACGTGAATTTAATCTTTGGTTCACAATTAAAGAATAGACATTTAAGTCTTTTCTGATACTACTAGGTAAAAATTACACATGACTTTTAGAGACAAATTTGATAAAAACAGTACTGCAAGTCTTAAAAATGTGCATACTTCATGACTAATTAGTTCTAGTTCTTAAAATTTATTCCAACAATATAATTGCTCTGTGAGAGAAAAACTATCAATAATGTGGATGATCACAAAAAGAAATGATAATCATATTAACAGGGAGGGAAATGTGCACAAATGAATGAAAACCCAACCTTTCTATAAAGCTGTTAAAAATCAAAATAAAACAAACATACAAAAAATATTGTAGAAAAATATTCAATGATATAGGAAAATGCTTGTACCAATAAAGCAGAAATAGAAAAATACCTCACATTTTAACATACTAAACAGCATTTTCTAATTTTGTAAACAAAATATAAAATCTATTGGTAGAAAAAAAGAAGGATATATATCAAAACACAAATAGTGGTTATTATTGAGTGGAAGATTTCAGATAAGATTTTTATTTTCTTTTTGCTTACATACATCTTATAATAGTCATATAATGAACAACTTTAGGGGAAAAAAAGTTGTTTGAGAAGGAAACTAAAGAAAGATTAAAGAAATTTTCCTAAGACCTCTAAGAGCCCAAAGGATTTTCAGTCATTTTCACATAACATCAATTGGTTCAACTGGATCCCTTTTGTGCTATGCAGGGATAAGATTATTAACTCAAGGGTAAACTAGACTGCCAACCATGGACTGACAGGTAATTTCTGAACATTCAGTAGTCGGCAGATGGATGGTGGAATAAGAAGAGAATGGAAAAGGACAAATAGCGGTAGGCAAACCCTTAACTCAGAAACCTGGGAAATCTTTCCACTTTACCTGTTTACAATGTAACCAAAAAAACAACCTGTTTTACATTCACTCTTCATCTGCAATTTTAGCTCAGTGTCCCCTCACTCTTAATTTAACCAGTATTTATAGAGCAGTACTAAGGGCCAACCATTCAGCATAGGGCACTGAAAAAACTAAACTGCTCTGTGCTTACAGAGCTGACATCCTGTCAAGTGCTTTTAGCTCTGAATGGCAGGCTTTAGATTTTATAAGTTTCCTCAAGCAGTACTTACTTTATCTCCCAGCCTTATTAACAGCTGCTGTAAGATCAAAAGGTCTCGGCAGATCAGGAAGCGAGTACTGGCAATTTTATACACGCCCCTGCACACAATGTGCCCAGCAGTACCACTACCATAGAGTTGGGAAAGATTCATGCGGATTTTCAAAGGCTGGGCTATAAGAAGACAACAATAATTTAATTTTTTAAATCAACAAACACACCCCCCCGCCCCACCCCAGGTACGTGTATCACTGCCGTCTTGTCATTTACCTGGGTTGAATCCTCTTTCCAGTTCTACTTCTGTCTCATAATCCATCTCCCGTATAATGAGCCCAATGGCATGAACTGGGTTTTTAATCTCCTGCAGTTTACCACAAATATCCTCCATCACGTTTTCCCTATAAGAACATTTAGAAAACGCCTATTAAAAATACATAAGACAAGCTCTAAGTGTCTGGTAAGCTAAATGCTTTATAAACTCTATGGAAAAAATACCCAGCCACATAATAAAGGAGCAATTTTTTTTAAAGCTGAGATCTTTTTTAAAAAAAAAAAAGTTCCGGGTGAGCCCGTCACGGCCCTCTGTCCGGGGTGGGCTGTCTTTGGCCCTTGGCTCGGGGCAAGCAGTCATGGCCCCTCAGGGTGAGCTCCTCAATCCCCAGATTGTGCCATCTGACCCCTGGGTAGGAAAAAAAAATGCCTATGGTATCCAGAGAATTTTATCTACGCTACTTTCTGCCACTCTCTCCCCCAGTAAACCTGAAAGCAATACCTCCAAAGCCCCTCTATTTGTAACTCACAAGTTTGTTCTCTCTAGCTTTGCTCCCTTTCCTATAGGTAACCTTACCACTGA